GGTGCAGCACCATCAACAAGTATAGGATAGGAGGGAGAGCATCATTGACCTGTGAGGAGCTTAAAAGGTTCCAGAATTGCGAGGAAGAAGAGGAATGACCGAGCTTGTTACAGGCCTGATGCCACTGCTGATGTCAGACTGCCCGAACAAAATTACGGGCAGTACGTTGAAGACCCCAGGATCATTGCAGCAACAAAGGGTAATGAAACCGACGGTATTCACGCAATAAAGTGGAAGAGTGATGTAACAGATCTACAGCTCTATGAGGTAAGGCTGGTCTATGGGGAGTTGAAAAAGAAGTCAGTATGTGTAAAGCACTGGCATCAGAGAGAAGAGTGGTAAGTATAGTGGCAAAGGAGTCAACATTGGCTGCTGTAGTAAAAGGTCGATCCATATCTGGTATGGCATTAATAAAGTGTGAAACATAAGATTTCCAGTCAGCAGAACGAAAATTTAGATGAGTCCGACAGGAAGCACGAGGAACAGACAAGGACTGCGAATGGACACAAAGTTCTATGGGAAGATGATCACTACCAACGGGAGGACACATCTGGAGAGGGATAAAAGGAACCAGGTTGAAAGAAACAAAGACAATATCAGGTGACGAATGAGAAATTGGACGAAATTAGAAAGTGAGAGTTAAGTCCAGAATAAGTGGTCTGCATGTGAAGGCGAAAGACAGTCTTAGCAGCACGGATAATATGATATAGAACGAACATACGTTGGAAGGGGAGGACATTTTGTAGTATTAATGTGATGAAATGGATGATATCCTCCATGGTAGGAGATATAGCAACAGAGTTTTCTGGATGGGTAATGGCATCGGTGGTATGCACTGGAGCAACAGAAGCAGGATCATAAGTCTTGGGGGTAGGTTTACCCTGACACTTAGAGGAGTATATAGGATGATCAAGATGGCAAGTGTTGCAGAGGGGAGGAGAGCTTAAGCGAGAGCATTGGCGAAGGAGATGAGGTCTGTGACAATGAGAACAGACTAGTTGGTTAGGGAATTTAGCAGTGGTATGTGAGTTGTATAAGAGGCACCTCTCACGGTGCAGAACCTGGGGGCCGGGAAACAGAAAGCTTCAACCCAATGGCATTGATGGAAAAGAAATGCTCTATTAGACAGGAGATGATCTATAGTGCCACTATTCTCAGCCAAAACACGAATCATGAAAGTAGGACCTGAGAAATTTTGAATGCGAATGGCATGCTTGACTGATATATTTTCAAGTAGAAGTTCAGAAAGGATCTCTTTTTCAGTGATGCCAGGATCCACACCACGGATGACACAAGAGAAAAGAGGTGTACGACAAAGAGGAGGTTGTTGTTTTAGAGCAGGGGAGCGAAGTTGAGTGAGCATGGTTGATTGACCCAGATTAAGCAGTCTCATTTTGTTACGCAGTATATCACACAATTGAGGGTTACAGTTTTCACAATTATACCATTTCTCATTGGAATTAGTTGATGAACGTTAGAACGAAGGTAGTATTTAGAAAGTTCGAGAAAGAGGGTCCTGGTAGAAAAATACGGGGGATCCATGCCCAAAAGTAGGAGCACAGTAATCTGAGGAGCTTCAGTAGTTTCCATAGGTCTGAGTGCTTCATCAGAATAGCCTGATCGAGTGGAGGCAGGAATGGCAGACGAAGTAGAACCAGCAGGAGACAGTAGAGATAGTTGAAACAGTGGACAACGATGAGGCAACAACAGCATACAACAATCGCGGGACATCCCTAGTAGTTGAAGAGCTTTCCGAGTCCAAGAAGTCGGCCCAGGATGGAGAAACACCAAGGGTTGAAAGCTTCCGAGGTACATCCTCCATGGGTTGGGAATAAGATTTTGAACGAACACGACGAGGCAACTGACCCAGTTGTCTGACAGCTGGGCGCTCAACAACTTGAAGCAACCCAGAATGCATGGACACAAATGAAAAGTAATAACCAAGTAAGTAATAACTGTTAAAAACATTCAACAAGACGAACTGCAGAACTGATATCAAATCCAATCTTTTCAATCTCGAAACAATTGTTCCAAAATCCAATGTCCGAATCTCCTTATTCTCCTCTGAAATATCAACCTAAACCAAGCCTTTATAGTAGTGAGGTATCGAAAATCGAACTGGTGTATTTAAGTGTTTTACACTCACAAAAAAAGAAAACTATCATTCTATAGGTATTTGAAGAACTTGTAGCATTCCACCACAGTTTAATTCTTTGTATTGTTACGTCTCTGTTTTTTTTAATTGATTTTTCGTAACTTCGTACCGACGAAACTTAAGCGACACAAGCCTTTACTTAATAAAACTGGTTTATTCTTTCCGAATATAACTTAACCGATACACTCAACAATCGCGCTAAACAAACGCTATAGCAATGAACGTCAATAATACTCCGACCGCAGATCAATTACTCACTGTCTATCTATTGCATTACATTCCCATCTTTTATAT